TCCCCCCCCCCCCAGCTATTCTATTCTTGTCTGCCCCCTTAATGGAAGTAGAAATTATTTATTTATTAATTCAAAAAAAAAATTATCTTGTCTTTCTCCCCAAGGTGGCGACCACCCCATCCCTGTGGGCAGGGGCTGCTGGGAGTTGCAGTGCAAAGTAGATAGGGGATGCTGGCTTCAGGAACTCTCTCAGCCCAGCCTTATCCACCTGCTCCTTTCCTAGCCTTCACATGGAGGTGATCCGTAGGACGCCCTGCCCTGTTGTGGCTGCCTGGCCCAAATCGCCCATTCCTCTCGCCAGCAACCGTTTCCTCCCTTGTCAGCATGACGGGCCGCTTGACTGAAGACGCAGCTCCTCTCCCTCACACACCCTTTTCATTCCAACCCTCCTTTCTTTTTTTGTCGAGTGGCATGTTTTAAGGGAGCTTTCTCAGAGGAATCTCTGAGCACCCCCGTTCCATCTGGGGGGAAAAGCCGCATCCCTGGGAGTGACAGAAGCTCCAACCCGGCAGTGGCCACGTAGTAAATCACCCCAGAGAGCTGGAGAGAGCCTTTCCCTGAGACTAGAGCCAGGGCCTGACACAAGTCAACAGGAATTTACCGAGGTTGTGGCTTGGACTGGAAGGAGATCTTCTGGCACAGAGACATATTACATACGCGCCAAGTTAATTGCATGCACACAGGCACCACACTGTTTGCATACACTACGATCACACGCACTAACTACATTTACTGAGCATTCACTGCCATGTGCCCGTAAGTTCGGAGAGGGCCCCTCTGATTGTGCTGATGTGTAACCAAACTGAAACACGTCCACTACTTCCATGCTCATGTTAGCATCCGTTAGCATCTGGCTTGACACACTTACAGATCCTGCCCAGACATTTTTGTGGTGTTTACCTGGAACATTAACTGCCCACCTGTCCTCATCTTGTATCAGAAAGAGGCTGCCACTCTCCACGTGCACGGGAGCTCCTTCCCTCCCATGCACACAGACAAACCCACACTTTGGCTCCCTTCCACTCTGGGCTTAATTTTAAGCCTGTTCTTGTCAAACAGAGCCTCGCGGGACTTTCCCCAACACATGCATGATGGCCAAGGAAGATTTTATGCACCTTGCCTAGAATGCCAAGGAGGCTCTGCTGGGTGGACTCCATGTCCAGGCAGTGCCTTGGGCAGCTCTGCTGGACCCCTGCAGAAAAGGGAGTGCATGCCCAAGGGAGAGCCTCCACCCTCTCTGGCCAGTGAGGGATTGCAGTGAAGGACCAGTAGGTGGTTCGGCAAGCTACCTTTCTGGTCTCAACTTGAATCAGCTTCCCAAAGGAGACCTGGGGCTCCTCAGAGCAGCTGGAAAACCACCAGGGGTTTAGCAATCGCTCCCGACCTTTTTGGCTTTAATGCTAGGACTCAGGTTTGAGAAAGATCAATACACACAGAGAGAGAGCTTCTCATCCTTGGCAGAGTAATTTTTCCTTTGCCACTCTTTGCTACCTTGGCCTCTCACATATTTGACACTTGGGAATAGGGTTCTGGGTCATAAGACATGTCTGACTTGCACAAATGTCGAGTGCTTGACAATTTATGCATCATTGCATCGCCTCCAGCTGCTGCTTATGGGCAGGTCTGGGGATTTCCAGGTTCAAACATACTAAAAAATGTATTTTATAGAAAAATTCAAGACATTCACAGGAGAGCTGCTGCTTATGGGCAGGTCTGGGGATTCAAACATACTAAAAAAATGTATTTTATAGAAATATTCAAGACATTCACAGGATGTATACCACTGTCCTTCCAACACGAAGCCATAGGTGAGAACTCAATCAGGCCACAACCTGAAGCAGCATCAGCAGGCCTGAGAAAAATGCACCTGCATCTCTCTGTTCCCATGCATCTGAATGGAAGAATGGAAAGACACACACTTCTTATTAGATACCTAAATGAGCATGTGCACATGGGCGCCCCTCCACCTTATGAACTTAGTGAATCATTAGTATAGGGAATTTTTTGCCACTTTTTCATACTATTCTTGGTGGACCTGCTGAACTCTCTATCAGTGAAGTGCTGTTAATTAGAAAGTGCAGGAGCTCATCATGACCATTTTCATAGCCATCCCTCCTACAGGGGAAAAAAATGCAGGCAGTTGGACTGGACCATATCAACAAATGAGGTGGAGGTCGTTTGTAAAGTTAATGGCTCTTAATAGTTCTTTCAAGAGAAAGCCACCCGTGGATTCTCCATTTAAATACCAAGCAGTTCTGTTGCCCAGCAGTGATCCTCAGAATGATGCACATGACACCTGCTTTGCTTTGTTCTGTTTGAGCTGCCGTGTGTCCTGCCTCTGGCGGTCATTCTTTGAAAAAAGGGTGTTTTCCATTTTACTAGGGAATCAGCTGAAGAGAGTGCAAAGTTAAGAGACTGGTAAAAAAAAAAAAACAGAAAGCAAACCCTCCATCCCAAAACCCTATTTTGGAATCAGCGCTTGCATGCACTTAACCACATGCAGGAAAGTTTGGGAAGAGTCAAAATCAGTTTCCCCTGAAGGAAGCAAATGAGAGCTTCAACTAGCCATTGCTGACATTTCCAAATACTGTATAAGCATCACCTTCTGCCTGGAACATTAACTGCCCACCTGTCCTCATCTTGTATCAGAAAGAGGCTGCCACTCTCCACGTGCATATTGTATAAGCATCACCTTCTGCCTCGTATAGCCCAACCTATGATAAAAATGGCCACCAGCCACTGAGTAGATCCAGCCATCCTGAATGAATCTAAGGAGCAGAAATAACATCTTTATTCCATTAGCAATATTAACCGGTATGGCAAACACAGATCAATGATGGATAAAAACAATAAATTAACTCTAGAGTAGAACACTGCCAGTGCCACTTTGCTGGTGCGCTGATACTGTATGTGGTTGTTTGCTGTTCCAAACAGTGGCAACACTTGTCAAACTCTCCCCTCCATTTTGCCTCCTCCGAGCTTCTCCTGATTGCTGTACATGTGCTCACACACTCTTTTGCACATGTGCATGCACGAGAAAGGGGGTGCCTTAAATGCTTTGCCGGATGCATGATGAGGGATGGGCTGCAGGTATGCATGTGCATGCACACGTCCACCCACCCACAAGCTCTCCACCTAAAGGAATGGTGGCCCCAAGTCCTTCTTTCCTGAATGTATTGGGCTCTCTCTCTCTCTCACACACACACACACACAGAGAGAGAGAGAGAGAGAGAGAGAGAGAGAGAGAGAGAGAGAGAGAGAGAGAGTCTTGGGGAATCCAGCCTAAGCCAGTATATTTGCCACCAGTTTTCTTCACTGGGCTCTCCCTCTCCCGTGATTCATCCTGCAACAAACATTGGAAGAGCAAAGCAATGAAACACATGTGTGATTCACGAAGACCAAGAAGCCCTTCTAATGTTGAATGCAGGGGTGAGCAAAATCTGGAGCGAAATCCCTAGATCTTGGACAGCCACCACCACTCAAACGTAGGATGCACAACAGAGCCTGCAGGCAGTATGTTTTCCACCCCCAGTTTAATGCCTTCCCACCCCAGTCCTCAGATTGTTGGGCGCTGTAAAACCAGACAGAACATCGAGGACTTTGAAAAACTACATCTCCTATAATCTTGCAGTACCTATTTTTCTGTGACATCTAAGACTGATGGGTGCTGGAGGTCAAAAACATATAGAGGGCCACTGTCGTCTCGCCAGCCTTTACTCTGTCTATGACAAGGTGTGTTCCTGTTGGAAAACAGAACAACAGCAAGAAGTGACTGCCTGTGCAGGGCAATTCCACCATGGAAAAGACGTTCCGTGGATACCCATTCATTCAGTGGCTGCTCATTTGTAGCACCAGACACCTAAAACATGACAGCCAGCCAGTCTGAGCACCAGACACAGAGAGAGGCCGAGTTGCCAGGCGTACCCGTGGCACAACCAGGAAGTGTGGTTCACAGGCGGAGAGCAGTGTCCAGGCAAGGTGCCCTCTGAGATATGGCTTCACCCAGCACATGCTGACCGATGTAGCAGCTGCCCCGCTCCACAGAGCCACAGGTAGGAGCCCTTACAAGACTCAACCCATTGCAGCACAGTTTGTGGGGAGCCATGGCTGGCCCCTCTTCACTTGCAGACGCTAATCCACTCTGTGGCAGGGCACTCCTCACACTGCACGTGGCAGCACCAGTGGAAACGGCAATGGCACCGCTGGGCACGCCTCTCCTGCAGCATGTTGTGGCCACGCCCACAACAAAGGCTGCCACAGCCATCTGGCCCTGTGCTGCCTTTGGCACAAGTGCGCCCGCGGGTGCCCGATGAACCCAGGCTCAGGTCAGGCTCGCAAAAATCCGGCGAGGGTTCGTAGAAGATAAGGTGTTTGGCCAGACGGTTTCTGTGGAGTCGTGGCCGGAAGGCTCCGGAGTTGCTGTTGTGCGGCCGCAGGAGTATGGCGTGGTCCATGCGCTCCTTCAAGTCAGAGCCCATGTGACGGAAGTCAGGTGGTGCCAACCAACATGTCCGAAACTGGCAGCTCCCGGAGGGGCCGTGGCATTTACACCTTCGCTGACTCAGTTCTGACACAACCTGCCAAGAGGGGAAAGGGTTAGTTAGCTACGGGGAAACTTTGGAACTGCCTGCTACAGGGAACTGGCTTTCCACAGCTTGCCTGTTCTTTTTTGCTGAGAGAGCCCCCACAGGAGTAAACTCTCGTAGGTGAAATACCTGGCGAGAACCACTGTGAGGTGGGTTGAGTGGAAATCTCCATCTTTCCCCACAGAACTCTAAGATAGTATTCCTCTGATATGTTTTTGAAAGCTAAATTCACCTTCCAAGGATAACCTCTTAGGAGCCTATAAACAAAATGGGCGAGGTTTTAAAACATGTCAACACTCTGCTTTTAGGTAGAAAATCAGGTGTGTGTTTCAAAACAGTATGCCATTCAGCCATTTCTCTTACTCTTAAAAGTTTTGTTTTTCTAATGTGGTGATCCAGTGAACTCTGCAGCTTCATCATAAATGCAAACAGATGACTGCTCTGGAGGCAGAAACACAACTTTGGCCACTGCTTCTTTCAGGTGCCAGCCCCAGCAGCCCCAGTCAAGACTAAAGCATAAAGCAGAAGCCAATGGGTTCTTGTTCAGAGGTTTTATTCCTTGCTTGCTTCTTTCCTCCTCCCTCCTCCTCCATTCTTCCTTGTGCTATATTTAGATTCTGTGCTGGAGAGTCAGGACTGTCATGCCTAGTACCATTTTTTTTAGGCTAAAAGCCAGGGTTTGCATATTCTATTGAATGAAAAAAAACATGTGCTGGAGAGTCAGGACTGTCATGCCTATTCTATTGAATTAAAAAAAACGTACTGTTTCTTTAGCTCCTCTAAGTGAAGGGACTATCCATCTGAAGTCTCCAGCCAGGAGTACAACTCTTATCACCTATCGAAAAGACAAGCTTCCTTACAGCAAAGCAGTCTATCACAGACAATGCAGAGAGCATCCCTATGGCTGCTTGGGCATCGGCTGGCCACCCCATGAGTGTCAACAAGATTCAAGGGATCCCAGGGCAAGCGTCCACCAGGACGTCTCCAAAATATTTATTATTGGTAATCTAGGCAGACCGAGATGCCCCTTGTGATGCAGATGGCCACAACACAAAGGGGCTCTGCTGACATACCATTATACAACCCCCGCCCCCACTGGAAAAAAAAGCCTGGAGATCCCAGTCCTTATAGTTGTTACTCTAATTAAAAATCCCTGACATATATGGCTTTCAAACAGTTAGGCAGAATCCCCGGCCACTCAGGAATTATGGGACTGGTAGCTCCCAACTTGTTAAGGGGTGCACAATCACCACATCACGAATTATGTAATTGCATCTATAATGAGCCACCGTCCGTGGCATTTTTCAATGTAACATCACAAGCAGCCCACCCTGTGTGTTAAAAGCCTAACCTTTACTGTATTTTACATCTGTGTCACGATCCTGCTCGCTACAGCCCCCTAGTGTCTACGAAGTGCCTGTCAGAAGAACAGTGAAAGCAAATTCTTCCAACCCACCTTGGCTTAAAAATTGCACCTCAGAGCCCTAACTAGTAATGTTGAAATCTGGGATAAATTGTCCCGCTCCCTCTGACATGAGGGACAGGGAGGATTTCCCCCATGAAAAAGGAAGAAGAGACGGTCATGTTCTCCCCAAAAGAAAGACGTTTCTGCATTAAAAGAAAGGAAAGTGAGCAGGGTCAAGGCAATGTTGCCATTTATCTTCCTAACCCCCAGTCTTCACTAGATTTTGGTGTCCTCCAAGTTTTGATGCCTTGGAGAAAAGCCCCAGTTGCTCCACCCTAGTGACACCCACCCACCCACACAGAAGCAGTCTTCCACACTGAATCTTCAGAGCATTCCCCTCTTGGTCATGCTGGATGCCCTTGTACAGGAGTTAAGCAGAGGGGACAGTCTGTCAATCTTTTGAATGTCTCCAGCAAAAATAAAACAATGCAAAAGCGCCTGGCCTCTTAAGGAGCCAGGTTGTTCGGCTGAAATTGGGAGCAGGGAATCACCATATTCTCCAGCATGGGACTACTCTACATTCTCCTGCAGAGCTATATATCTACGTGTGACTCGAACTCTTTTCTCGCAAGAAGGGGGCTGTTTTCCTTTTGCAGGGTAAGGGGGGGGGGGGGACTGCAAGATCAGAGGGGGAGACTGAGGGTAAGGAGGCAAGGAGGGAGCTGTGGCTCCTCAAGCAGTGTTTTTTCACTCGTCACAGACGAGGGTTATGTTTCTCAGACAAGTGGATGAGTGGATTTTTCAAGCCCTGCTTATTTCTCACACCACACTACTGTAAGGCTCAGCACATTTCAGGCTATTTGTAGCTCTTTCACCCCAGCAGTTAGAGAGTGTGTGATCTGAGGAGGCTTGGGACTGCCTGGCTTCTGCTTCAGAGTGAGCGTGTGTGTGTTTGCAGGGAGGCTTTGGGCTGCCTGGTAAGTTAAGGTGCTTCTTTCTGCTTTTTAAAAACTGCCTATTCTGGGTGGGTTTTGCAGGGTGGGTTTGGGCTGGGGGGATTATGTTTCTGTGCTGTGTTGTTGGGTTTTTTGTGATTTTATTTTTGCAGCCTTAGTGCCTTCCGATTGGGCTTGCTCTGTTGTTTATTTTTGGTTTTGTTTTGTTTTTAAGTCCCAGTGCCTTCAGGGCTTGCTCTGTTTATTTTTGGTGGGCTTTTTTGTTTGTTTGGTTGGTTTTTTGCAGCCCCAGCATGTTCCTATGGGGCTTGCAGTGTTTTATTTTTATTTTATTTTGGGTGGGTATTTTTTTCTGGAATGGATTAATCATGTTCCAATGCATTCCAATGGGAAATGGTGCTTTGACTTACAACCATTTGAGTTACGTCCATCTTCTGGAACGGATTATGGTTGTAAATTGAGGCATCACTGTACTGCTAATGCGGAAAAACTGGGAGTTAAAACAGTTGCTTATTTACTGATAATCAATCAAACTTCTGCCACCAGATCTTCATCCATCTTCTATCTGTTCAGGTACTACAGTGTCCAGAAACACCATCTGGAAATGCTAGATCAAAGTACTGAATTTCAGCCTGTTTTCACCTGACATGAGTTCAAACTTTTCTTTACCATTATGTGAGCTACAAATTGGAATAAAGAATTCTGATAATATAAAATATTGCAACAGAGATTGTCCATATTAATTGCTGCTAATAAAGAGTGTGCATAGTGACCGAACCAGAATCCTATTCTTGATACAACTTAGGGCTTGGTCACACTGCTGATTTGTATCTAATTCAGTTCTGACATATTCTATATCGATGTAAATTCATGGGGGATTTAAATTATTATGTATGTTCACTTTAAAGTAAATTAACTCAATATAATTTTGGATTTCTACACCATTTGGGAAACTACACTGTATGAAATTGCTTCATTTATGTTTTGGTTTGAAGACCACATTGTTCCTCTAATTTTTGACTGTTTAATCTTTTTTTTAAAAAAACCCCACTAAGTGGCATATCGCTGCATTGATGGCTGCAGTTATCTAACATAATCTCCATATAGATGAACTGATGCTGTGCTAAAGTTTATAATAATTAAAAAAAAAACAGTGAAGGGAAGTGCCTTTGCCATCTAAAGCCCACAAAAGCACAAAATAATCTGTAAGCATCATTCAGATTGGCCAAAGCGATTTGAAAAGAATTGAACTAACAAGGGTGGTATTTTTAAAAGTCCCCGCTCTCCACTTCCCAAAAACCTGCTTTGCACCCAAAAAACAGCGGGTTTACGCATACATCGTGTAGTCGGGATTTTTAAAATCACTTTTGATAACACGAAACTCGATTCAACATTGGTTTCTTACTGCCAGTGTAACTGTGCCCTCAGTCCTTCAGTTTGTTATGCCAGATACTATAAGATGCCACGTACCCACCTCCAAAAAAAACCCCTTCCACAGAAACACCTACCTTCCTCCCTATACGGTGGCTGTGCAGTTGCATCCGTGCATGAGCATCGCGTGGTTTTCCTCGAGGGTCTAAGAAATGGCGAGCAAATCTCTGGGCATAGTCAAAGTCTGCGCTGCAGCCTCCCCACTCCCAGGTGTCCTGGGGGCCAGGTTCCCCCCATAGTGATGATGGCACAGGAGGCAGGCCCTTGCCCCGGCTTAGATTCTGTAGCTGGCTGAGCTTCATCCTTTGATTCTTGGAGCCCTGCCTGGCACAGCCGCAGCTCTGCAGCTCCCCAAGGCTACAAGCGGTGGCCACAGCGTGAGTCACACCAGCTGCCAGCAACGAGAGTGTGAAAGCACTTTCCCGGAAGCCTATGAAGACATATGGAAAGAAAGAGCAGATGAGTCGGAGGCACAGTTGAAGGTGGCTCCTGCAAGCCAATCAAGGTCACCTTTGCAAAGGGAAACAACAGTCCAAGATTGTGTCTAACCTGGGATTCTTGGTGCAATGGACCGATTTATCTCATCTGATCCATTGTGATCTCTTCCAGTTCCTGACATCAGAGCTGTGTCACCTTTAAATTAACCATCACCACCACCCCAGAGCTTGGAAATAACACGTTAGAAGTAACAGCGTTACTTGTTACTTTAAAAAAAACTAAGCCCAAACTCATTACTTTTAAGCATTAACAATAACAAGATAAATGTCTGCATACAATGCATAACATTTAGCCATTTCTTCAGAGAATTACTTCTGGGGAGGTCATTTTGGAATCTTTTTGCCTTTTTTGTTTCAATTTTTTTTAACAATTAAAAAGTAACACTGTAATGAAAAAGCAAACACCAGTAAACCACTTTTTTAAAAGGGTGGGGCAATTCTCCAGGTAACACTGGCAGGCTTTGATCACCACTACCCCCCAATTTAGGGTTGGGGCGATCCAGATTTTTTATTTTATTTTTAAAAATATGATTTCTGTAGCTGCTGGTAAAAATGAAATCAGATATTTATGTATGTAGTTGCTGACCTCTCACATTTTCTTCTTTATAACACAGTGGTTAAATTGCAGTACTGCAGACAAAACTCTGCTCATGACCCAGGTTCAATCCCAGGTAGCCGGCTCAAGGTTCACTCAGCCTTCCGTCCTTCTGAGGCTGGTAAATTGAGTAGCCAGCTTGCTGGGTTGGGCTGATGTTTAGCCTGTATAAGTAAATTGTAAACTGCCCAGAGAATAAGTGCCATGGGGCGGTATATCAGCAGCATACTTTGCTTTTGCATGTTGCTTCAGTGACTGCCAATCATGGGAAAGAACACACCGCAAAGACTCCTCATGGCACTTCTACTCCTCCTTTAGCCATGAGAACTCCCTGCCTCCCTCCCTCATCCTCCAGTTTATACCATTCCATCAGGTTTAGCCTGCACATTTTGGAAGGTTTAATACTGATTTTATTTTATTTTTTAAAGAGAGATAGAAACAATAGCAACAGAGGATTTCCCTCCCAGAAACAAATCCTGCTGCCTGTGCAATGATGACATAGGGTATATGTGGTCATGCTTAAAATCATTGCAGTCAGATCGCCCCTGTGCCAAGTTAGATCATCATCGGTCACCCCATAACGAAGGAGTGCCCTTCCCTGGGTACGGTGCCAAAGTCCTTGAACAGTTTCAGATCATCATTCATGGGTTGCTCACTGGGCTGGGCTGACATTAAATGGGTTGTGGGGAGTATGATTTTAGCTGTTAGGAGTTTTTAACAAAGAGTTTCCAATATTATCTTTAAAAAAGAAAAAGAATCTACTAAGGCAGACACAGAGGGAGGGATCGAAACATGTTAGTTATTACTTCTTGCTTTATGAGTCATGTGTTACTGCCGTGTTGCTTTTAAATTTGTTATTAATTAAGTATCATACCATCATCCCACTGGACTCTTCCCTCTGCTGCCCTTTGAGCTGAGGGAAACCCCACCATACTCAAGATCAAGAAATGAAGATCAAGGAATGGCTGCACCCAGGTGCTGGCCTTGCGGCTTGCGGCTTGCGGCTTGCTCCTGCCTGCCTGGGGGGGCTACCTTTGATCTGGGGTTTAAATTTAGCACTGGCTCCTCCAAAGTTTATTAATACAAGGGTTCCGAACAACAAAAGAAAGGAGCTCTCTGCCAACTTGCCTTTAGGGTCAGGAGTTGGCTAGGCGGGAAGGATACTGGGAGGGACTGGGAGGTGAGGGCGGAGGGAGGGCGGGGGGGGGAAGAGAGGGAGAGCTTGGCCTGTACAAAGGAAGACAGGAAGGTCAGGGCAACATCCAAGTCCTGGGGAAGGGGAATGCTTAGTAAGATGTCCTCAGATTCCCCCACTGAACTGGAGACTGCTTTCTTTTCTACCTCCTGAATACGCAACGAGGCTGGGGATCAGCCCCGCCTGGTGTTTACTGTGCTCAGCTGCCCACCCACTCCAGCAGTGGGGGAACGACCGAACAAAAGGCAGAGGGCAATGCCAGACCCTCCCTTTGGCCTTCTCCAACCAAAGCAAAGGAAACTGTGCTGCTTAAAGCACTCTCTGGGTGGTTTACAATTCAATGATATAGGCTACACATTGCACACACCCCCACCCCCATGAGCTGACTCCTCAGTTCATCGGCCTCAGAAGAATGGAAGGTTGAGTCAACCTCCAGCCGGCGACCTTAGTCTGTCAGGAGTGAACTCAAGTCATGAGTAGAGTCTTCACTCCAACACTGCAGTGTAACCACTGCCCCATGAGGCTCCTTATTAGCCAGGGTTGGAATACAACTTCCATAATGGGCAGGAGCTAACACACACACTACCTCCGCCAAGCGGTGGGGTGGGAAAGCTCCACCCCCAGAGGTGACAGCACAAGTGCCGAGGCGAGTGGGCCTACAGAATCAGGCCGAACCTTCTTGGAGGTCTTGGGCCATCCATGATGCAAGAGAGCCCAGCAGGGCAGGAAGGGTGACTACGGCTGCTTCTCCTTCTGACCCTCGCAGGAGGTTCGGGAGTCAGCCAGAAGACATCTTGGCCTGGATGCCTTGACAGGACTCAGACATGCTAGAGGACCTTAAGCTATGGCAGGTTTAAAAGGCCACCTGTCACTGTCCCACCCCTCAGTGTATTATGCTAACGGTTACGTAAAGCTGGAATTTGGGGCGGTTTGTGTGTAAATCTGGCACCCTTCGGCAGCATGAGAGAGGCCTTGGTGAATCTGGTTGAGTCCCCACCATGGCTTTCTGCTCTTCCTCTGAGACGTGCTCAGTGCTAATCCTGATCTTGGAAGTACATGTATAGGGAGGGAGGGGAGAATCCACAGCAGGCTGTTTAGCCAAAACTAACTCCTGGAAAAGTATGTGAGTAGTATATATACTACTTATGTGCTGCTGCTGCTAGAGAATCAGATCTCTCTGCTTCCTATATTTGGTTGTGAGAATGACAAACAAATGAAAGCTAAATTCCTGGAATCCTTGGTTTCTAACTTACTGCTATCCTTCAGTTTTGTGGCAGGCCTGGTACATAATAAAGATCCCACACCCTCATCTTTCTTGTCATTTTTGTTGACTGAGGTCAAACTAGACGTTAAAGGAAAAGCACATTCCCTGCAACTAAGAATGATTCCTCTCTACCCATGAGATTTCATCACTGATAGATGCCTCAGCTGCCAGAATTGCAAATTAAGCCCTGTATACCTGCCATTGACCACAGCACACTATGTGCAAGATAAACAGGTGAGTGAAATCATGTGTTCCCGTAAATTGATGTCTTTCACAAATAGGTGTCATTTAGATGAGCGGCACTTTCTCTTTAAAAAAAAAGCATGCTAAACATTTTGTTTCATTTGACCCCTTGTGGTTCTCCAAGCCTCAGAGACCCAGCATGCTTTTCCGCATAGTAGCCAACGCCTGACTCTAAAGGCACACTTCCCTATTACATCCAAGTGTTCCACGTTACACAAGGTAAACACAATAAAAGCCTTCTTAGTCAGGGATCCTGAAAACTGGTCCAACGACAACATCTGGGGAACCCTATTTGGAATAGCTTGGCCTCTGACTTAGAATCTAAGGAAATGCATCACTTCACTGCCTTCAGAGGCACTCTCCAGAGGTGCTTGACTACCATTTCCACCACCAACCCAGACTTACGAATTATGATAGCTGCAGATCAACCATCTCCATAGGACATCCCAGTGGGAAACAATTATGCAGTGACATTCCTCCAAATCATGATTGCAACCGCATCTAGAAATGGGATTTTTTGTGGGGGGGGGGGGATGACCTCAGGTGAGGAAAAGTTATATTCACATGTTTGAAGCAAGGGAGGGGAATTTACGTGGGCATCTCTTCACAAAATATTTTCCACCACTATTCCTCACAGGCAGATGCTTACGAGGCAAGGCAGGCTAAGGAAAGCACACTCACACTGCCATTTGTAGTCTGCAGCAAAGAGGATACCTTGACACATGCCATCCTAGTCTCTTTCTAGCCAGCCCTGCTCGGCCCTTTTCTGGGTCCCTAGGTAATCTGCAGTAGTTAAACTGCAGTGCTGCAGTCAAGCATAAGCCCATGACCTCAGTTCCATCCTAACAGGGTTAGGTAGCCAGCTCAAGGTTCACTCAGACTTCCCTCCTTCCGAAGGAGGGCAAACTGAATACCCAGCTCATTGGGGTACAAAGTGTGGTTTGCATAATTATGTTCTAAACTGCCCGAGAGTCCTTTAGCACTATGGGGAGGTGTGTGTGTATATGTACACACCCATGAGCTCAGGAGCTGAAAGAGGCCCACTCTTTCTTTCCTCTCTTGATTTCTCATTTTTCTTGATCACCTGACACTCAAAGCTCCAGGACTCCTGGTGTCTGTTAAACATGTTCAGACCTCATTGAGCTGTTTGGAGGGCTGTGTGTGTGTGTGTGTAATGTGTGTGCTTATCCCTGTTTGCTTTTTGTCTTTAGATCTTTTGCACTTGTACAACTCTCAAGGTCAACATGAGCCTGGTCCATATATACTGTAGTACAGTACTTCTCTCCTTGCTTCTCTGTAGCCCTTTTAGGTTTCATTCTTTGAGAGTGAGGGGAGACTGAGCTGCTTACTAGCAGAAGTTTTAAAAAAGGGCAAGGAAGGAAAGATCAGTAAAAAAATACAGTATTATGATTTTTAGTTAGGCGATTTAAATTTTAATTTGCATTTCAATTCTATAATTGAATTTTATCCTCTTTTAATGACTCTCACGTTATTGTATTTTAATGTGCTATTGCTTTAAACTGTTCTGTAAGCTTCCTTTGGTCCCAGTTCTGGGGGAAAGGGCAGCATATAAATGAAGTACAGTATGTAAACAGATCAATCAAACACTCAATCATCAGGTTAGTATCAGATCAATCAAATTCTGCTTTTAAAAAAATGCACAAGAGCTTGGAAAGGAGATACTGTATATAATGCACAAGAGCTTGGAAAGGATATATATATATCTCCTTTCCAAGGATATATATCTCCTTTCCAAGCTCTTGTGCATTTTAAAAAATCCGATATATATCTTTAAAGACTACAACTCCCAGAATTCTCCAACCAGGATTGTCTGGTTAGGAGACCCTGGGAAATGTGGTTCAAAGCCAGCAACACTCCCAAGAGCCACACTCCCGCTGCTTGCCTCCTCCTCCTCTCCCATCATCTCCTCACCTCTCTTCAGGATGGGGCTGTTGAGCAGTGTGGAGCTGCCGCCCCCACCCAAGTCGGAGCAGTCCCAACGCCGCTCTTGCAGCTGATGCTGGCATTCCTGGAGGGCCAGGTGGATGCCCTGCAGAGCCGAAGCCATGGCCTCTGGGCTGCGCTTGCAGAGTCCAAGCTGGCGCCGGCTCAGCCAAGGGAGGGTCAGGCACACGGTATTGGGTGCAAGCCCAGGGTCGGCAGGTGCCTTTGGCCCTAGGAAGTCGTGGCCCAGAGTCCTACAAGAGGGCAGAGAAAGGAAAGTGGGACTTTTAAGTTTGGGAGTAAGGAAGATATGGGCCAAAAGCTAAGACGCTTCCCAGCAACCAGCCCTAGGCCAGGAACAGACAGGGGGGGGGCTCGTCAAAGTGGGGGAGCAAACCTTTTTTAAAAGCCTTTCCAACTTGAGATCCTTGGGGAAAACAACACTGCCTGTTAGATTAAAAGATATTCCAGCAGTCTAGTTGAGCTACAACTTTCTGATTAGCAGGGGTAACTACATCTTCTGCCACCCTGCTGCCGTTGGGTTTCCCAGTTCCCTTTAAGATTAACAGCAGGCTTCACAGTAGTTGTGTGGCTGGAGGGGGAATGAATTTTCCTAGTAACTATATACATTATTGTAAGGCCTTTCTTGCAACACAAGCTAGTTATTAGGGGGGGATTTCTATGACATTTCATATTTTTCTCTGCAACTTACATTTGAACCCATAAGCCAGTCCAAACATGTTTATGAGTAATCTGGCCCTTCTCACCAGTGTACTCATAAACTGTTCAAACCCACACATAAGCTAAAATGTAGGCTACAGGAAAAAAACTGACATGTCACAGAGATCCTCCCCCTTAATAATTATGAACCATTAGCCTTACAAAAAACCCTCTTCCCAATGGAAATGCAAACTACTAGAGCTGATTTTTCTGGTGCAAGAGAGCTGCCTGCCTTTTTTTTATTCTTCAGGAGATATGAGCACAGTTAGGGGGATGGTCAGAAAGTGTGCCTACATTTCAAAACTTTCCAGCTGCACCATTGTAGTGCGTTTTAGCCCTTGTGAGACAAAAATCAGCTGTAATAGCCTGAAAAATTGGCCAGGGGCAGAAGGTATCCTATTACAAACAGTCTGACACAGCATGAAACTGAGGTGGGTCTCAGAGCAATGTTTCCTTCCCAGAAAGAGAGGCAGAAAGAGTTCTGAAAACAGGAGTGGCTATGGATTGACATTCCGCATCCATCATCCATCAGAAATGCTGCTGCTCTACCATTTCTGTATGTATTCTTCACACATTTGAGGAAACCTTGCATTTCCTGTATAATTTTACCACATTTGGATACACTCCACCCCACATCCAAACCAAAGTGGGGAAGGATACTTAGCCATTCTTTCACTGCTCCTCTGTGACGCATTTGGGATCTCTCCCTTCTCAGACAGGAAGAGAGCCCAGAAGTCCTTCCCCCTGTTCTTCAATCTCTGCGCAGAAACCTCTAGAATAGATTTCATCCCATTCTTGGCGGAGGGGGTGGCATTGGAGGGAAGGACTATGAAAAAGAGACCCCTAAAGTTTTGTTGAACCTGACAGAGACCTCTGCTCTGCTGACAGAACTGGAGTCTCTGTGTTTCATCCCAGTTGGTGCTGGGCTGTGCAAACCCCCGTCTGGCCAGGCAACTCAGCTCCACCAGCGCCCCGAGGGAGAGCAACGCACCTGGGTGGCGGGGTTTCCAGGGGGAAATTCCGTGCCTGCTCCCCCCAACCCCACTGGCATGAGATGAAAGCAAGCCAGACAGATCAAAAGCATCGCCCCGCAGGGCTTGGCACCCAAAAGAAGCCAGGGGGTCACTGGGTTTGGGGGGAGGGTTGGAAGGAGCAGAGAGGGGTGACGTTCCTCTGACAAAAGCAGGGAGCCCCTCCCAGAGCTGAAACGAGGTGTCTCTGTGGCAACATAAGGAGGGGCAGGAATATCTGGCCGGCGGCAGCAGCAGCAGCAGCAGCCACAGACATGTTGAGGTGGGAAAAGGAAATGGAGCTAAGTTTCTTGATGAGAGGAGACCACCATAGCAACCACCCGGTGGAGATGGGACATCTTAAGGGCCGTTTCGTGTCCAGCTCCTGCAAATCCTCCCAACCGACTGAGGGCTTCTCTGAGGAAGCATGCTTTGACTTGTTCTGCAAATAACTAATTGTGGCTAACGAAGCATGGACAAGAGGATGGCAAGAGCCTTGCATACTCAAGACCTCAGCAGGGAGAAGTGCCGGCTGCCTCTGCTCTGGTTGTTCCCTAGTCCTACTGAGGGAAACACCGTGCCCCAACATTTCAGGGTAAGGAGACCCCCTGCTTCAGTTGCATGTGTCCTATAGCTGGCCCTACACCACTCTGGGAAACCCGTCAGGGTCAACCCTGGTCGCACAATACTCTGGCGACACACTGCCAAGGAGGCAGACATGCCACTGGTGCCTGGTATAAATGTACCAGGCTAAATCCTGATATAGTAGACCCACTGAATCCATGGGAATTACACATGTGTTGTCTTAACAGGTCCCATTAATTCAATGGGTCTAACAAATGAATGTACTCTATATGTACACTTACATGACTCTGAATGCAGTTCTCTTCCCCATTAATTCAATGGGTCTAACAAATGAATTTACACTTACATGACTCTGAATACAGTAGTCTTCAGTTTTTGTACCACAGGCGTCTGATGAAACAAGCCTACCAAATGGCAAAATCCACAACAAACCAGCTGTTTTTAAAAAGGTTTAAAAAAATCTGTTCCCTTCATGAAGATGAAACACTTCTAAAGGCTCTCCCCTATAAAGACAGAAAAAGCCCAAATCCACAGAACTCGGCAAAGCTAGTGGTGAAGGCTTCTGAGAGTTTTAGTCTAAGAACATCTGGAGACCCAGGACTGGGAACCCCTGAGCTAAGCTAATATTCACTCACTTTTCTGTGACAAGTACAGTATTGCACTTGCCAAAGTGTCTGTAGGCAAAAGACACATGCACATAGCACTCTCCGTCACCCTCCTTTCTAAACTCAAAACCATGTTGAACTATGGAAGGTTGGAAAGGAAATAAAACTAGGAACTCTCATGCCACAGCACTCTTCCATCATCATCATCATCTACTGTGTTGCTGTCATCATTATTCAGCTTATACCCTCTCTTTCCTCAGGGGAGCTCAGGGCGGCTAACAATCTACATAAAACAAGCAATGTTAAAGATCACAAATTTCAGATATGTAAAACTGCCAACTGCACAAACATCCTCTAGTTAAAATACAATAAAAACAAAGAGTAGGGAAAAAATCAAATCAAATACTTACTTATTCCCTGAAAGCTTACACAAATGGATACAGTTTTAACTGGTGACTGAAAGAGGAGAATGTATGGCTCTTCAATGAAATCAAGTTTCAAACCTTGGTGCTACCACCAAAAAAGCCCTATCAGCTATTGGGAACCCCTCGAACCCTGAGCACCCTAAGTACGGCCTTACTAGCAGATCTAGGATAAGTCAACACTGGGGAATCTAGTTCTTTAAATACCTGGGTCATGAACCATTTAAGTTTCAGTTTCTCTTGTACTCTGCAATGATGACAACTGATATAGTCGTCCAGACACACACCAAGGAGAATCAAAACTCGTTGCATCAGTTCACACTGACAAGTAAATAACAGGTTTTGGGTAAGTTAATACTCCCAATTGCCCATTCAAAACCAAACAACCCTCAAATACTTTGCAATATAAGAGAGATGCCCACAGGACTAAATGACTAAACAACAACAAGCCTCATAGCAACTTACTGTTCCTACAAAACTCAGTTTCTCTTCCAACTATGGTGAGTTTTGCAGCTAAACTCAGAGAGAACAGAACATTCTAAGGGGAGGTTGTAAGATGTTGTCATAATCCCTGCCTCATAAAAAGTCTTGGGCTTTTGACCTTGTGAGCCCAGGCTCCACTACACCATGGCATGTTTTAGTGCACAGAGCTGCTATCTGTAAGGGAGAAAGAACTGCATATGCAGCTTGAATATTTCTGCATCAAATCTGACCAGTGTGCCACCCAGCCTGGCACTGTTCACTCTGATTGGCAAATGGCTTTCTTGGGTCTCCAAGAAAGGTATTTCCCAGACCTGAGATCTGTTGACTGTAGGCTCATGCAAAATCTTTTCACTGCAGATGTCAAGATTTAACCTGGGACTAGCCTTTCCTATCCATGCATTGAACTACGCTGTTATGAGCCATCAAGTCGAAACTGGCTTATAATACACGGTGAGATATTTAAAGAGTGGTTTGGCTAGTTCCACACCCCTAGAGAGTTTCTAGGGCTGAGTGGGAATGTAAACCTGGGCCTTCTGAGTCCTAGTCCATCACTATACCTTCTACACCACACTGGGCATCCACGCTGAACTATACCACTGAGCTCTGTAGCCTGCCTTATAGGGCCGAACAACCCAAATACTCAGCTCACATTTAGAAGCCGACAACTGGTTAAGCCCTCCAGCAAGTTGACTCCCCCAGAGTTACACATTTTAGAAATCAGGTTTGCAAATGAAGGCTGTGTTTACTTCTTTAAGACCAATCACAAGCAAAGCTAGGTGCACTGGGCACACAGGTCCGAAAAGCTGATGCTGGGACAAAGGGATGTCTTTTCTACCTAAGAGAGCTCTAAACACATAGCTCAAGAAATCATGCACATTGACCCATAGTCCAGGATAGCCTATTAGCCTAGTACTTGCAGACAAGAAAGCACCTGCATTCGAGCTGCACTCTGTTCTATGGCAGCTGCCCATCCCAGCTTCCTCCCTGCTTTTAGATTAGAAGCCAATGTTGGCTCGGACAGAGGGGCAAACATAGATTGCAAATAAAAGAGCAGAGTACCTGTTCTTAACCTAGGAAGTTGTTTTCAGTACTAGAATGAAGTTCACATGTGACTCTTTCATAAGCAAGCAAGCAAGCAAATTATTCCATTCCTGATTCCCACTATCCACCTGTGCTTCCTTCGTTATGGAAAATATATTATCATTGTTCAACAGCAGAGACTGAGAAAGTCTTGGTGGTCAGAGATCACTCAGAGACCCACCAGAAAACCCTGATCCTCCTTCTGCCCACTGGTCCTTCACATAAGCACAAAAAAGTCCTGCTCCAATGCATTGTAGGTGTAAAGGTGTGCAGGTTGGTGATGTCGGACTACAACTCCCAGGATTCAACATACATTCTGGGAAATGTTGGGAGTAGTAGCCCAAAATCACACATCTGTGCATTTCTAGTGTAGGGATTTGGAACTAGGATTTGGGAGATCCAGGGTCAAATCAATCAAATCCCCACTCAACCATGAAGTTTGGTGGGTGAGTGTGAGGCCCTCCATAATCTACCCTCCCCTCCCCTCAAAGGATTGTTGTGAAAGGAAGAAAAAAATGGCAAAGAGAGCAACATATACAACCTTGAGCTCCCTGCAGGAAAGGTAAAAAATGAATCCATGGGTAAACTCATGAACAAAGACCCAGCCACTCTCCTCTTCAGGCACCCTACTGTGGGCTTCAAAAACATTAGCAGTGTTTTAGGAAGAGTATTGGATCCATCCTAAACCATATATTTGGAAATGCACTTGTCTCCTGGTGCCTCTGTCTGAACCAGGATGGGAAATCTTTGTCCATCCAATTGCTATTGGACTGCAAATCCCATCTCCCCTAGCCAACAATGAGGGATGATGAGAGTTGCAATCAAACAACACTGAGATGGCAAGTTGCCCAGTCCTGTTCTTAACCTGCTCGTGCTCTTGCAATTCAGGAACCACACTCCAAAATACTGTACACACAGTCCATTGGGAAAGGAGGGAGTGAACAGGGCTGAAGTTACAGGCTATAGAAGCCATTCTGAGCATTTCTGCCTATGTGGGAGTGGCCACAATAGTGGAAAAGCCTGCCCACTGCCAACTGGGCAGATAAGATGGTCTTCCATGCTAGAGCATCAGCTGTTAGGTTATATGCCGTCAAGTTGGGGGGTTTCCAGGTAAGTGAGGTATGTAAGGAGTAATTTTACCAGTTCTATACCACCCCCACCCACCCCTCGTTTGTGAGTTTCTTTCACTGAGCAAGGATTAAACTCAGGTCCCCTGAGCTTTAGTTCATCACTGTACCCACTACACCCCACCCTGGGTAACCTGTTGGCACCACGTAACCCCCCCCAGTCCCATTGCTCTTGGTGGATGGTCTCAGGGGCCATTTCCCCAAAGGTGTACCATTCGAGGTGAGGGGTGGGGGACACCAGCTCTCTCTCACCCCACCAAAGAGTATCTCCCCATCCTCTCCTTCTTCTTCTTCCTCCTCCTCCTCACTTACCCTCTCCAGAGGCAGAGGCAGGCAGCTAAGAGACAGGTATCCACGCAGGGGCTCCTCCTGGGCGCCATGCTGAGCTCCAGCCAGGGGCTCCTCTTTAGTTCGGCTGGAAAGCACCCTCTCCCTCATGTCCCCGTGATTGAGGCCCAGGGATGGGCGATCTGGGGGGGGGAGAGAAAGAGAAATGTGAACAATTGGGGTGGGGTGCAGAGCAAGAGTCAGAGGGGGTGGTATATTACTCCCTTCCAACCTATTCACGCAGGCACGCACACGGTCCAGCATTCTCAAAGCTGTTGGAAATCCTCGGTGCTTTGCTCCTGACAGAAGCTCCGTCTGCAACTGCGTATGTCACCCAGTTTTTAAAAAAACACGTGTACATGCGCGCGCGCGCGCACACACACACACACACACACACACAAAACACACACACACACCATAATTGGAAAGTTTCCTCCCGCATTCTTGTGCTCTCTGTAAACATCAGGGTGGAAAGCAGGCGATCAGCCGGCGCATCTCTTGCTCCTAGCTTTCCCCGTAGGGAAGGTGGGTGCAACAGAAGAGCCTTCTCTGTTGAATTCCTGCCTCTCAGGCCCCACATGAAGACCCCCGGACCCCTACAGGGCAGGTGAAGGTTCGCAAGGGCAGCTCTGGCCTGAACGCGGGAGAGCCGCGCGCGGTCTGGCTCCGCTCCCTATCGCACCGCCTCGGGTCCCTTCCCTCCCGCCTCCGCCCCTGCCTTGGGCTCGCTCCGGGGGGGGGCAGCTCTCCGCGAACCCAGGCGTCCGAGCGCCCCAACTGACCGCCGGGCTCGGCCGCGCCTCGCTCGCTGCAGTTTCGCCCGAGCGTCTCGCCCTGAACTCACCGCGGTCGCCAACCGGCAC